CTGGCGCGCGTCGGCGGCCCCTCGCCAGGCGCCGATCCAGCCGGGCAAGGCTCGGCCCGGGAGGGGGTGGCAGCCCCTGTCCTCCGAGGGGCGCGGAAGTTGCATCGCGGGAGGGGGAAGCCGGACGCCGTGGGCCGTAACCTCTCCGAAGTGGGCCAGGCGGGACCCACAGCTGTTCGGAGCCTCCAGGGGTTTTGTGTGGGCGCGGCTGCGGATGTGTGCTGGAGTACTTTGCAACACTAGAATTTATGCACAGTAAAATGTACAAACCTTCCATGTTCGGGTCCATTAATTTGCGTGTTATGTGTACACTTGTGTAACCAGCCCCTTCCCCCGCCCCCAAAGTTCCCTCCTGTTCCTTCCCAGTGCATCTTTCCTTCCTTTTTTGGACTTGACATACTTAGAATAACACAGAATTTCTCCTTTTTTATTATTCATTTATTTAGCAACTATATTGCATTTGTTTTACAAAAACTTAAATGTACAGCAGGTTCCAAGATGCTTCAACCTACTGACTGGAGGAATGTTGTGGCCGGGAATCCAGAGGTTTAAACTGGAATGGGACTAAGGATCATCATTGCCTCAGGCCTAAGGAGCGGCTGGCTTCTTGCCAGATTTCTTCCATCTGTGGCCAGAGTGCCCTTCGCTACAGCCTTTGCTTTTAGCTCCTCACGTTTCTTTTGCTTCTCTTTCTGCTTGAATGCCTTACCTTCCTCATCTCCTTTCTTGGGCTGCTTCAGGGTCTTATCACCTTTGTGCTGGACATCCTGCAGGTAGGCTTCCCACCCCACCCCCTTCTGTTCTGTTGTTTTTGTTTTTAACTCAAGACAATGCGTTTGAACTTATTCCTGTGGTGTATATTAGTAGCTCATAGCAATAATTCCTTCTTTTTTATTGCTGAGTACTACTGTGATGTGAGAATGTATTACAATTTTTAATTTGTTCACTAGTTAATAGAATCTAGCTCATTCCTTTTTTATTTTTAGCTATTATGAATAAAGCTGTAAACATTCTGTTCCAGGGTGGGGAGTGTGTGTGTGTGTGTGTGTGTGTGTACATAGCTATCATTTCTCTGGGCTACTCATGAGTGGATTTCCTAGATCACAAGGCAAACACACATTTACTTGTGTTAGACTGCAAGCAGTTACCCAGATGACATGATACTACTCTTTCTGGGTTATTTTTAAAAAATGAAGATGGGCACTTCTTGTGGCACAAGGGATTAAAGCACAGCACTATGAAGCATCCACAACTACTGCATTGCGGGTTCAATCTACCTTCATTTGGTTTTGATAAGTCTCATGGTCGGATCAACCCTCCATTTTGAGAACCAGTCATTGCCAAAGTGGAGACAGTTAGGGGGTTCATCTTACTGTTTTCCTCTATCTTTGTATACATCTGATCATGCTTACACAAAAATTTGCCTTCCGTGCCTGTCTTTTTTTTTTTTTTTAAGATTTTATTTATACATACAAGAATTGGGGTATAGGCCAGAGATGTGGGGGTGCGAGAAGACTCACCAGAAACATAGTCCGGAGCATAACAGGCAGAACTAGTGAAACACACTGATGAGGGGAGCAGCAGGTGATACAGCTCCCTGGCTGGGGACGGAACCCTTGCTGCAAGTGGCTGCAGACAGCCTCCTAGTGTTGCATCCTGGTTGCACCAACAGGGACAGCCCCTATCTTCTCTTTAAACAAAAACTATAATGTCTGGTATCACTACTTCTTTCTCTGTAAAACAAAGATAATTATCCTGATAATTATCTGCACTGGATGAAATATTGGCTGACACCAGTCAAAAGAAAACCCAGCAAATCTCAACTGCAGAGAACTCAAGAAATGACAGTTGTTCTCAAATTTCAACTATTATAGGGCAGGGAGAGAGGCTCAGGGCACCACTAAACCCCCAGACCTGCCTGCTCTAAATGGGTTCTGCCATCTGCCACATCAAGACAAGACATAAGAGCTTTAATGGAAAGGAACTTTAATACAGTGAGTATACAATACAGACAAAGAATATAATTTCTGAATCAAATACCTGAAGTTACCCATCCCCTTGGGGGCAAAAGTCCACCCAAAAGGGATTGGCCCAAAGCAAGACCTGAAAGCCCAGCACGATACTAAAGCACCTTCTGGCCGGGACAAATAGAAAAGGGTCAGAAATGGCCAGACAAGTCTGGAGGAAAAGAGCACAATCAAAATTAAGATAAAAGTTGCCAGTCACCCTCCCCATGGGTCTCTTACCCACATCTGTTTGGTTTTTTTTTTTTTTTGTCTTTTTAAAAATTTTATAAGTTTGTTTTTACATATTTTTGTACATTTTCCATCCCAGTTGCAATCCCCTTGTGTTTCCCATCACCAAATCATCCATGTGCCATCACCATAGTCCAGTGCATTTCCCTCCCCCACTGTTTTTGATCCCATTCTGTTCTAACCAGCACAAAGCCAAGAAGCAAGCACGGTTTCTTCACGTCTCCCTTTGCCGCGGGGCTTCCTCAGGTCTCCTTCTGGCTCTCCATCCTGCTTTTTTCTTCTTCAGAATCCTTCTCTTCTCTGCTCAGTTCCACCCTCCTGGGTGGGGCAGGGAACCTGGAACTTCCCCTTTTTCTGTGGACCCCCCTGTTACCCAATCCCAAACCACTGAGAAGGAGAGGGATTTTGCTTAAACATAGAGAGCTGAGCCTCACCTGGCCCCCATCCCCCACTCCCCCTTCCCAGAGTTGATATTGCATAAAATTCTTTAAGATTTTGGAATTCACAATGATGACAGGGTGTTCACTGAAGTCAAGACTTTGGTGGAGCAGCAGGGGCCGAGCAATTTCCTCTCTTCAAGGAACCCCTCATTAGCTGGGTTGTTCTCCAGCAATCTTCAAAATAGACAGATGGTCCCCAGAACTGCAGCACCAGGAAATCTGTGTCAGGGCTTGGCCCCTACCTAGAACTGCTGACTCAGAAACTCCGGGATGGGGACTGGAGAGGAGGGTAGGGGACTGGGTGAGGCTCAGCTCTCTGTGTTTAAGTGACTTCCTTCTCTCCCTTTTGATTCAGACGTGATTGGAGTTTGAGAACAACTGTCATTTCTTGAGTTCACTACATTTCAGACTTGCTGGGTTTTCTTTTGAGTGGTGTGAGACAATATTCCATCCAGCGCAGAGGAAATAATCTCAAAGGCGGCTGCACTGTTGATTGCCCTGTTGTTGCTCATTTTGTCCTGAGCACTTGGGAGCTTAAGCAGGATGCTCAGCAGTGCAGGGGCCACTTGCTGGCTCGTGTGCAGACCGGCCCTGCTCCTAGTACACTATGGTGTCCACGCTGGCATGATGCCTTCTGGGTGCCCCTTGGGGGAGTAAGGGCTTGGACAAATGACTTCAGATGTTGCATTCAAGATTTCCCGTGGAACCAGTCAGATGAGTGATCTCTCAAGAGCTTGTAAGAATTTAAAGAATTTCCAAGCCCTTCTGCATTCCACCTCCCCTGAAAGTGCAGATTCCAACACTTCAATTAGCCTTGGTAGTGCTAAACTTAAATGAAGGTGTCCCTGGCCACTGGTGTCCACTGACACCAGTGTGAGGGCGATGATGGTATCGCTGGTATGATATGATAAAATGAAAAAAAGAATAAAATAAGAGTTGATGCTGTATTCATGTGCAGTTGGTTGTATGTGGCAGAAGCTGAATGAAAGGTCTCCCAGGCCCCTCACCCAAGCCTCACACCCAGGCCCCCAGACTGGCAAAAGGAAGAATGTCAATATCTTGTGATATCAAGATGAACTGGCTGCTGAGCTGGCATCAGGATGCTGCCCCAAGGTGCCACTCCTGCCCCCAGGTAGCCACTGACCAGGATCAAGGATCCTGAGCAAACAGCCACCACTGACCCAAAGGGCAGCACGACTCACTGGTACTTTTCCACCACCTCCGCAGGCCCAACAGAGTGGGACATATAAAAGACATCTAGCCTGTACCGTGGGCACGACTTCCCAGGCCCCCACTGGGGATCTGTGAACCTCTCCTGGGAGTGCAATAAAGCCTTCCTCTCTCTTACTTCTGTCTCCTTGCCTTATTCTATCCGCTGGACCTTCCACGGAACACAAAAATAACTCATTGATTTGTGTTGCTGCGGTATGCAGAGATGAAACCTCTTCAGGTGTATTTGGATCCAGGTGCTCAAGTCAGGCACAGTTGGGACCTCTGTCTCTTGGCTTCATTCTCCTCTGAGTTGGCTTTACTGAAGGCTAGCTGTTCTCAACCTTTGGCAGCAAAGGTTGACATTCCTCCCAATTAATAACCCCATCTTTCCTAGTGGCCCACTCTTTTCCAGTCTGCTTCGAGTACTGCAACAAAATAAGGAGACTGATCTTCTTAACCAAAAGACTTTATCTCCCCACAGAGCTGGAAGCTGGAAGTCCAAGACCTAACTCCCCTCAGGCTGTTTCTGGTGAAGCTTTTCTTTCTGACTCACAGAAAACAACATTCTCCCATATGTGTGTGTAGGGAGAGAGCTCTCTGGTATCTCCTCTTCTTAAAAGGTGTCCATCCTGTCAGATTGGGGTCTCACTCTTACAATCTCATCTAACCCTAACTATCTCTCTAAAGGCCCCATTTCCATACAGGCATACTGGATGGAGGGCTTCAACCTCTAAATGCGGAGGAGGGGAGGAAGGCATAATTCATTCCCACACAGGCATTGTCCAATGTGGGTCATGGATCTGTCTTTTGACAATCACTATATCCAGGAGGTTGAAGCATTTTTACTGGACAGGCCAAGTTCTCCCTACCCAGGGAGCTAGGAGTGGGATAACCTTCCAGAATCCCAGGAACTGAGTAGGGGGAGGTGCGGATCCCAGAAGGAAAATCCACATGCAGGTCCCAGAGAGAGGAATGGGAATTAGGCA